ATTTCTGTAACACATAATTTCACTATCACTTCGATATTGGTATACTCTCTCCCAACTCCGTGTCGTCTTTCCAAATTTACTGTATTTCGATTAGTTCCAGACGAACGCCTCAATTCCCTGAATCCAAACTCTGGTAATCCTCGTTACACTTTGTTTCTTCACCAAGGAATCTATGGAATCGGATGGCACTTTGAAGCTATCAATTAATCCAAGATACCAACTATTCTTCCTCTCCCTCTTTTGACTTCAATCCAACTTCTGATCTTCCTTTTGAAGGTTTCTTTTTTTGGATTAATTCCGTTTAATTTGTTTTCGCAGTTTACAATGCGTATTTTCCACAGGCTTTTGATTACATTTCATCGAAAGTTAGCTTCGACCTTAGTTACACCTTGTTCTTTCATGAGGATCTCTGGGAATGGGACTGGGGCATCGGCGGAGCTGTAAACAGTGGCCTGATTTCAAAACGCACATATGAAGGTATCTTAATGGGCAATGGGATTGGCAACAGAGAAGATGTAAAAGATGGTCTGATGTAAGAGGACATGTTTGAAGGAATTTAAGATCTAAGGTAGTTGTTCCAAAACCTCCTTGTTTTTCCTCATACCAGTATTAAATTTTACAAGTGTTCGCTCTCATCATAAAACTGCTTTTCCTGAATATCACAACACAATACAAAAAACTGCCAAGTTCCACCACTTTTTCACATGGAGGTAGGAGTATTGGTCAGCGGAATTGCTTGGAACTCTGACAGTTGAACATTTCAGAATTCGCTCCCGACCGCATCAGAGATGTAAGAAACATTGAGCGAATTGTGGCTCACCTAGATAGTACCCTTTCTGCATGAAAAAAAACCAATTTATTAAAAAACTATGTAAGTGTATAGTACTTTGACACTCACAAAAAAGTTCATAGGGATAAAAAAGAAAGGAAAGATGATTTGAGAGAGTACCTTGGGCAATATCTTTCACTCGCATGCTAGCACCCAACGACTTACTAGCAGAAAAAGAAGGTGACTTTTCAGGCCACTGTAAATTGACCACATTGATATCCCTTGATAATTATTCATTCAATTTTGGGGCAATTGAGCATTCCATCAAAATATTCACCGGATTATTTATGTTTTTCAGATACATTGGAAGATTTTCCAGAGAAGGTGCATTATTGGCATGTAGACTTGTATTGTCGATGGGAGGGAAAGATCTGGCATAACTGGGAAGCCTCTTGCAATTAGATTACTTTCTAGAGAATCAGATGGGAAAGATTACTGAATGCTTGATGGTAGCTTTACAATTATTTCCCACTTAGATGAGACGTTCACGGTAGGGGGAAGGAGACACTGAGGTCATTGGGGAATGGCTCCTTCTGGGAGGGTTGCAGTAGCTTGCATTAGTTTCTTTCAAAGGCGGGATAAACCTGAAGAAAACACAATTGCCAATAGGGATGTGGATTTTTCCAAGTCCAAACATCAGCTCATGGTGGGAGATGGAAATCCCATTGTTCAGCTAATTCCAATTGTTCCATACAATCCAGTTGCATCAAGCTTCTTCCAAAAACAGGTCACTTATCCTTGCCCACCTATTCTGGAAAGTTTTATAAGTTTTGAACAAACCATCAAGATAAGAGTTCTGAAGGGGACTTCAAGTTACAACATGCTACTCGGAAAGAGCCACAAGGTTTTCTTACAGTTTCTCAGGTTTCAGAAAAACAAGCCTTTTCATAACTTCCGATAGGATTGGTGTACTTCACGATTGGCTCTACACCCTTCAAGATTTCAAACTCCTCAAGATTCGGGAGCCCTTGAAAGTCCGGGTCTTGATTAGGACTTCTTCTTGGTAAACTAAAGATCAGATGATTCTTCAACAACTCATTAACGGGGCTGTAAAACAAGAGTATCCAAAAAAAATGTATTATACATATAATAATCATTGACATTGTAATAGACACGTAAATAAAGGAAATAAAGAAACACTTACTTTAATTGATCTCTTCCATAGTTTTCAATATTGCTGCTTTCATTATGAGAGCTCGACAAAGTTAAACCTGGTTGAAAATGATGGAAAAGGATTTACAATGGTATTTATACCATTCAATAACCTTAATCATTGCGAAAGATATTCCAAATTCCTGAGACGCGGGTACATCTGGAGTATGATGTAATCTTTAGCTCTTTTCATTCTGGAGAAGAGTTTAGCATTCAATTGTTTCCTCTTGTTTCCAGAATGCAAGGTACTATAGCATTAACATTTGCTTCCTGACAATCGAAGTATATCAAGAAACAAGAGACAAAACATAAAATCAAGGATATCTCAAAATTTTAAGTTATTGAATGGAATATAGTCTGTAACTACAAAAGTTATTGGCTTACCATGTTCTTCCACTTGAATGTGAGAGACATTCCTTGTCAAGCCATATTCTACTACGTAGCCTGGGTTTTCACGAGATTCTTTAATGAACAATTTCTCTTCCCATTTCTTGAATCAAATCATGCATCCACCACCACGTCCATAATAAAAATAGTTATTGAGAGAATTTATCATTAGGTTCTCCTACTCCACTACTCTGGGAAGAATCACAACTTTCTAGTACTCTTTAACACATAATCCTGTCTCCATTTCCTTTGAAAAACATTGCATATCAAGGAATTATTTCTTGTGATGTTCTGTTCAAGCCATCATAACTTATTGAAGCTTGCATTAGAATTTCTTCATTTGGAATTTTTTTTCATTTATCTAAGTGTTCTTGTTCCATTCCTTCAAGGATTGACCAATAAACAAAGATGAACCTAAAACTTTAAGAGGCTAAAGGGAGGCCGCTGGCATATTCTTACGAAACTCAGGACAAAGCTTCTCCGGTATTCCTCCTCCTGAGAATTATTCTGATGGCTTTTGAGCAAAAACAGTTCAAAGCATCTTCATAATTTAACCCCTCAACAACAGTTATGTCTCATCTACTCCATATTGTTTGTTTCAATAAATGTTCATCTCTTGTTGTTATTATGACTCTACTTCCAATACCAAACCAATTTTCATCCCTTCTTCCAATCAATGACTCTAATTGCTCCAGGTGATCTACATCATCAAGAATGACCAAAATCCTTTTACGACAAAATCTATTTCTTATCTCATCAGTTCCTCCATAAACATCATATACTGGTATGCCGTCATACATTAGTGTTGCAGATAGAAGTTGTTTCTGTAAAAAAACTATACCATTTTTTTCAAAAGATTCTCTAACACTTCCAAGGAAACAACTACCTTCAAATTGCCAACGAATATCCTTGTAAACAACACCAGCAATAGTTGTTTTACCTATTCCTCCCATCCCACATATCCCTATAATTCGAACTTTATTCAATTGCTCTAGGTCCAAACCCTATAATTCGAACTTTATTCAATTGCTCTAGGTCCAAAGAATCATACATTTTCTCCAACCTAGACTCCATTCCCACAAAATCCTTGGCAATGCTATGACTTGATCTTCTCAATCGTCTAAGTATGGCCTCAACAATATCTTGAATAAACTCTGACTCATCCCTGTAATGGCAGAGGTGTTATGTTCAGAAAAATATAAATTAAATAGAAGTCATGTTTTAAATTAGTTTTTTTTCAAGAATATGTATGGATCAATGAGAAAAGAAAAAAAATTTCTAGTATTTTATATATAGTTCCAGATCTGTCTTTTCTTAATTTTCTGTCTCTTTTCCCTAACAATAAGTAATTATTGACTTTCATTAATACCATTTAGAACTTTTTTTGTTAGTAAAAGCTGTGTCTAGAACTGTTAATGTTTTCCAATTTAATTAAATGTAGAGTAATCTGATTAATCAAAAGCAGCAAGAACTTAATGAGAATAGTGAACAAGGAAAGGGTCTAAAAATTAAAAAAAGAAGAAAGAAGTTGTTCCAACCTGTCGCCTAGATGCCATCCAGAGAGGTTGGCCACCTCCGTTAATGCAACTCTCCATTCTTGGACCTTCTGAAAGTTGTTTTTGAAAAGTTTTTCATACTCAGTGAAGGGTTCTCCAAATTTACCATCCTGCTTTCGCACATCATGTGGACTCACATCATAGAAAATAGGCAAAACGGTCTGCCTCCCAGCTTTCTTGCATTCAAAAATTTTTACAAGTTCATCCAAACACCAAGTGGAATTAGCATAATTTTGTGAGAAAATGACAACCAAGATTCCTGAATCTTGTATTGCTTTAGGGAGCTGTTGAGGCACGGACTCTCCTTTTGGAAGTTCTCTATCATCCTTGAAGGTGACGACTCCCTTTCCAGTCAAATCTTTATACAGATGGCTAGTAAAATTTTTTCGAGTGTCTGCACCTCTGAAACTAAGGAACACATCATATCTCCATTCTTGTGCAGCAGCAGCAGAAGCCATGAGAAAGTTTCCTTTTTCGTTTCCTACTATGTTTGTAGATCTCTTCGAATGTTACACAATCAAATCCGCTCCATGATACAAGCAGATTTAGAAAATGTTTGTTTTTCATTTGCTCTTTGGCTTGTTCTTGTTTCGCTATAAAATAATTAACATATGAAAAGATATAAAATATGAAAGAAGCCAAAATGCTTTCACGCGGGCACTTAATAAATGCTTTAAAATTAAAGGAAAGCCAAAGAAGAATCTATTGTTGATAAGGATTAAGTTAGTCAAAGCCTCAAAATATTTTATATATATATATATATATATATATACTATATTATATAATATATGTATATTAGGATGTGTATTTATTTAATATGTATATTATGGATGTATATTTAACTTATAAAATAAATGATGAAAAAAATAATATACTTTTAGAGTTTACAAGCGCGATATTATTAATAGTGATATTATTAATATATTCGTTAAAAGTTCTTGTTATATGATTCATAAGGAGAATAAAATATGCTTCAACCAGCCAATAATAATATTATTATTTTAAAGAATTAGTTTTCTTTAGTGTCTAAAGAGACTTTATACTCTCAAGGCTTGAATTCAAAACTTCTGATTAAAGGAAAAAAATATCTAAAATCTCGTCTCATCCTTTGGAATGTAAACATTAGTTTTTTTAATAACAACGTTAGCTATGAAATAAACTTTTCCTATTTAATAAAACAGCTTGCATTTCAAACATTATTTATGATGCAAACTTCGTCTTTATGGATATCGATATAGAAAAAAAGAATAAAAATTAAACTAAACATATATTATATATATACTTTAGTTTAATTTGCACGAGTACTCTAGTTCCATGCAACTTAAAAACTGACAACCAATCTTCCAGAGTATAGAGATTGAGAGTATCATTGTCACAGTGTAACTTCAAGGCATTTTCATTCTCTTAACAAAGTTGCCACTTTCACTATCGATACTGTCACTGCAATAATCATCATGGCTTCTCTTGCTTGTAGCAGAATTGTTATGACAGGGGAAACCCAAGTTCTCAAGCCTGTTGCATTGGATTAATTCACCAATTCACCAACATCGTGCTCATATATTATGCGAAACCCACAGTACTTCACCTTCAATCCATTTGAAAAAAATGTCATCTTTATTTTTCTACATGCTTCACCCCAAGCTACACCGTTTAAAGAGCTGCCTGGTATGAAGTTGAACCAAATTTTCTCTGCCATATTGCCTGCAGTATCCCCTGAGATTTCTGTGCTTTGGCGACCTAGAAATAATGGTTGATCTGACATATATGCGTGCAAATCACAGGAAAGACTAGCAGTTTCCGATAATGAAAGCGCATTGGGTTCGAAAACTACACAAATTGCAAACCCCATCCACTTGTTACTATACCAATATGGAGGCAGCTCCACTTCTAATGAAGATCCCATGCCCATATAGTCGAACCATTCAGGTACTTCATTTCCAGCTAAACACATTGATACATGAGAGCTTGGATTAAATAATCCCTGCATTAATGTTAGAAAATAAAAATGAAAAATTGTTGGTCATAATCTTTATTTCTTAAAGTCTATTTTGAAAAAGAAAAAGTATTTATGTTCAAGGAGAGAAACCTGGGAGCTATGCTTTAGCAGGAAATGCAGGTAACTTGTCACCCTCGCAAAAGCTGTGCAATTTTTGCCTTGAACCTCAACCAACTGGATGCGATTCACGAAAGTTAATGATGAATGTTTCGACCCTCTTTTAAGTGATTTGGAAAGTTTCTTGTGCGGTTAAACCTTCAACACTTAGATTGACAATAATTGATTTGCCAAGACCAGGCATAGCACTGAAGCCCTTTTCGCAATTAGGAAAACAAAGTTTTTCCATTTGTAATGGCTAGTTGATAGTTCTTGGAAGGCAAAGCTCCTAAGGAAGAGCAACCATGCGTAACTGAGAATACAAATACTAGATGGAAATTTTGGCAATGACTGAGCCTCTTGCAATCAGGCAAAACCGTGGGTCTTCAAGTTTCGAAAGTCTGATAATGCTCGTAGGAAGCTGACAAAGTCATTTTCCGCTTAGATTTTAATGTTTGCAAGCAATTGGGAAGCAGCTCAGATCATTAGGAAGTGTTCTTTCGCGGATTTTGGCAGTAACTTAAGTTCTAATGTTCTCAAAGAGCTTAAACTGACAAAGAGGCAAAAAAAAGAATCAAATTTGATTCTTCTTTGGCTAACCATGAAGAATAACAAGGATCCCATAGTTAGCATTTGTAAGTCTCTCGCAGCTATTCCGCGATATTAGCTTTCTCCAACTTGCATATCTCCTAACCTTTAGGGCAATTTGTCAAGGTTTTGAGCAGCCTATGCAAAATAAGACCTTAAGTAACTCAAAATCGCATATGCTATTTTGGAATCCTGAAAAGACCTTTTTGCAGTTCTTTCAAATTCATTTTAGTGAGCCTGTTAAGAACTCCAATGGATTCATCTACCCTTCATACTTAGTCTCGTGCAACCTTCAAGATTAGCTTTTCAAGGTTTGGCACTTCTCTGAGTCCATTGATTTCTTGATTAAAGTTAACGGAGTAACTAATATCAATCACTTTAACATTCTTTCAAGGCTGTGAAGAAGTATATAAAATTCAATTTAAATAATTGAGCACAAAACATATGACCTCAAAATGATTAATACGTTTAATACTTACTTTATTCCCTTCCATAGTGTTGAATTGTTGCTGGCCATCGCATATGGAAGCTCAACAAGTTTATCGGTTGGAAATTGGATGGAAGAGATCTGAAAGGATATCTATTCCAATCAAGATATTCTGAAGCTTATTAGAAGATATTCAAGAACCTCGGAGAAATGTAGATTTTTTGAGTTGGAGAAGCTCGCCTTTTCATTTATGAAACGATTTTAGCACTTCAATGTTCATCTCTCTTGTTCACAGTGAAAGTCTAGGACAATGCCTTCAACATTGATTCGAGTTTCATCTTCTTGTTCACATGAATCTAGGACAATGCCTTCAACTTGATCGGTTCCCTAAACATTAAAGGACGAGAACAATGAAAACTGAGAACAAAATATATCTAACCAGTAGTTTTTAGTTGCATTGTGGTATGAAAAGACAAATTATTTACCGTATTTTTCGACAAGACATGATAAACATCTTTGTAAAGCCACAATCTGCTTCGCTTTCCTGGTTCTTCATAGCAAGATTGTCGAACAATTTCTCTGCCCATTTCTTGAAGCAAGTCATGCATCCATATCCTATCATTAGAAATTGCAATAAGAGATTTACTGAGTAGAACTCTCATTCCAATTTCTGGATAGAAACCACAACTTTCCAATACTTTGGTCACATAATCTATATCTTCCCCTTTGAAAAAGCAAGCAATATCCAAGAATATTTTCTTCTCTATTTCCTGTAATCCATCAAAGCTTATGTACAACTTATCCAAAATTTCTCTGTTGGGAATTTCCTTTAGCCTTTCCAGTGCACTTCTCCACTCATTTATAGATCTACCAAATAAAAAAGAACCAAGAACGTCGAGCGCTAAAGGAAGGCCATTAGCATAGTTTACAAAATGGTTGGATAGCTCCAAAAACTCTTCTGTAGGATAATCATTTTTGAAAGCTTTCGAACAAAAGAGACGAAAAGCTTCATCCTGATCCAGTCCTTCAACTCTATAAATTTTCTCCACTCCATGGCTTAGTAACAAATGTTCATCTCTAGTAGTTATTATAATCCTACTTCCATTTCCAAACCAATCAACCATTCCAGCTAATGATTTTAACTGGTTTAATTGATTTATATCATCAAGAACAATAAGAACCTTTTTATGACGTAACTTGCTTTTTATCTCATTTATTCCACTATGAGCATTCCAAATTGTTATGTTTCTTTCCATAAGGATTTCAGAAAGAAGTTGTTCTTGCAAACGAACTAAACCATGTTTCTCTTCAACTTCTCTAACATTTGCAAGAAAGCAACTTCCTTCAAACTCACTAGATATGTCTGCATAGACAGCTCTAGCAATTGTTGTCTTGCCTATGCCACCCATACCACAAATTCCCACAAAGCGAACATCATCTAACTTCCCTTCGCCTAAGCAAGAATTCATTTCCTCCATATGTAAACTCATTGCAACTAAATTCTTTTTTATACCTGAGAATCTATGACTTGATTTCCTTAATTTTTTTAATACCTCTTCAACAACTTCTGCAATAAGCTCTGACTCCTGCCTGTAGTAAAGTAAGAAATACTTTTACACACAGAGAACAATGAGCAATAAGATAACAATATTATCTAAAGAGTTAGGTGTGATTTGTTTTATATATAATTTGAAAAGGTTTGTCTAATAAGGACGGAGTGCAAGTAAAAACTTCAAGAACTTCTTTTTTATTGATAAAATCATTTTATTTTAAAAAATATATGTTTCTGTTTCAGTTTGTTTTAAATCAGAGCAAGTTTTAGTCTTCTTAATTACAATTAATCAACGCATAAGTTGTTTATGCAGAAGAGGAATTGGAATTGAGCTTTGTTAAAGAAAGAAAAAAATATATAGATGGGAAAACAACATGAAACTGACCTGTCTTGTAAATCCCATCCACTAAGATTCGCCAATTGGGTTGCTGCAAGTCTCCATTGTTGAACCTTGCCAGTATTTTCTTGCTCATACTTAGCAAAAGATTCTCCAAATCTGCCCGTCTGTTTTCTTACCTCAGATGGATCCACACTGTAGAAAACAGGCAACACTAATTGTCCCTTCTCCTTCATGCACTTAGAAATCTCGACTAGTTCATCTAAGCACCATTTAGAAGAAGCAAAATTTCTTGAAAAAATGACAATCGAAATTCTTGATTCTTGAATTGCGTTAAGAATTTCTTGAGAAACAGATTTTCTCCTCTCGAGATCATGGCCATCCTTGAAGGTAATAACTCCTTTTTTATGTAAAGCAGAATAAAGATGGCTAGTAAAATTCTTTCCAGTATCTTCTCCTCTGAAACTGAGAAAGACATCATATTTGCATGGAAGAGTAACAGAAGCCATTAATAAAAGTATAAAAGAATGGATACAATGTAATAATTATTACTATTAGAAGAAAAGGGAATTCTGATATATGATGTGAGGTTTTAGGATAGCATTAATTACATCTATATATATATGGATATGTTTAAAGGAAGCCATTTTCAAGTTTCAACTTAAAACGCGTCGCCTAACTGAGTTGAGTGTTGTGTACATGTACTTGTGCTGACGTTTCACATCAGTCAAGGTCGTCTTGGTAAGAGGAACAAGTCGTAGGTTTCAGTTTCAGATGCTATTTCTGAAATCTAAATTGGACTGTCATTTTATATATTGTTTCTTCATTCAAAAAAAGACCATATAAAGTTTTCCTAATCTGCATTTCAACGCGTGAGAAATCAGACGGATGACCAATTCTATCTGCTCTATTATTATTTTTTTTTTCACTTCTAAAAATCATTACTTTAATAATTCCAATCCATGGGATTTTTTTTTTAATTTTATTATGAGCATTCTCATATTATTTTATACGAGATTAATCTTATTTTAAAATCTATAAATAATATTTTCCGTTAAACTCAAATGGAACTTGCTTAGGGAGAGTAACTTTTATTTTATGGTAGTAATTGAAGAATGAAAAGGGCAAATGCAATCATTGTAATGGATCATGTCTAGCCAGTAGAGTCATCAGTTTTGAACAGAAATGGAAAGAGAAAATTCAAAACCGAGTATTGAGTGCTCCACAAACGGTTCCATCACTTCTTCTAGTAGTCAAGGTTTTTTCCATATGAAAAGTCTAATTGTTGGACCCATAATAAGATTTTTCAATTCCAATTGGCCAAATAAGTCATGTCCTGCCCACTACACTTGTCTCTTTGTTTCCCTTATTGGCCTATCAAAAAATTTTCTCTTTCCTTGCTCACAACTCTAACCAAAACTTAGGACTACAAAATAATGTTCAAATACATAAATTAATCTCGTGATACTGCGAACTATCGTGCATTTAAACTTTTAAACTTTTATTAACATTTTACATCTTTACATATTAATAGCAATAATTTATGTAGTTAATATAACTTTTATAATAATAATTTTCACACTGGGAACTATGTAATAGATGTTTATTTAATTTAATTTTACAAGTTAAAGTATTTAATATATTTAATTTTATAAATTGAAATTTAATAGGTCAAAGTAAATATCGAGAGTAATATAAAATTATTCAAGGTGTATTTATATATTCAGCCACAAAAGAACGAATGAGGTCAGTATAAAACAGAACAATGAATATGAAGGCAATCGCATCAACATCAACCCTTATTCAAGACTAAAAGAAACATACAATTAACTTCAAATGCCTAACAATACCATTTACAGTATTCATTGCTTAATAATGTTTCCATCAAATTTTTCTCTTCTCATTCTGGGTTCTTGCGCCTGATTTTCATCTCAGGAACTACAAGCGTTCTCTGTCTCTTAGAAGGCGTTTCATTATCCGGATCACCACTTTCATTATGTTCCACCAGCGTCCTCTTTCGTTTATCAACCTTATCATAAATGGGGAGACCCAAATTCTGAAAAGGTCTGCTGCACAGAACTAACTCGTCAACATCTCGACTGTATATTGCTCGGAACCCACAATGCTTCACCCTTAATTGGTCTGAGAAGAATGTAACCTTGAGGTGATTGGACGCTTCCCACTTATCTAGACAAGTTAATGAACTACGCGGCATGTAGTTGAACCAAAGTTGATCTGATGTAATATCTATGTCCTTTGAGATTTGTACAGTTGAACGACCCAGAAACAAATCTTCGTCTGGTGAAATGCATGCGTGCAGATCACAAGAAATAGTAGAAACATCTGATGGAGGCTCATGAAATCCGAACTCTATGCAAAAAGCAAATCCCATCCACTTGTTAGTCCACCAATATGGATGCAGCTGTATCTCTAATGAAGATCCTGTAGATTGATAGTTGAACCAACCAGGAATTTCACTTCCAGATAAACACATAGATATCTGAGAGTTTGGATTAAAGAGTCCCTGCACACAAATTATCAATTATCAGTTTATTTATGTCTAAAGAAAAACTTATGATGGATATATCTGTGTGATAATAGGAACAAGTGAGAGAGGGACACACACCTGAGAGCCGTGCCTTAGCAAGTAATGTAAATAACTTGTCAGCCTTGTAAAAGCCGAAATGTTTTCACTTTGAACCTCAACCAATTTCAAGAAATTTACAAATGTCAATGAAGAAGTTTTTGAAGTCTGTGTTCCGAATGGATTTGGAATACTTTCTTCTGCAGACAATCCATCGAACCTCAACCAATTTCAAGAAATTTACAAATGTCAATGAAGAAGTTTTTGAAGTCTGTGTTCCGAATGGATTTGGAATACTTTCTTCTGCAGACAATCCATCCACAGTTAGATATAAGATACTTGATGAAAGATCTGGTAACAACTGAAGCCTCTTACAGTCCATAACACACAGATTTTCAAGTTTAAATTGTTTGCTGATGCTTCTAGGTAGTAAAGATTCCAGGGCAGTGCAACCATCCATGCTAAGATATAAAATGCTTGATGGAAGACTTGGAAAAGCCTGAAGACTCTTGCAATCAGCAAACCGAAAATCCTCAAGTTTAGAGAGCCGGCTAATGCTTGAAGGGATACTATGAAAATCATTTCCACCCACTGGTTAGTCCACCAATATGGATGCAGATGTATTTCTAATGAAGATCCTGTAGATTGATAGTTGAAACAACCAGGAATTTCACTTCCAGATAAACACATAGATATCTGAGAGTTTGGATTAAAGAGTCCCTGCACACAAATTATCAATTATCAGTTTATTTATGTCTACAGAAAAAATTACGATGGATATATCTGTGTGATAATAGGAACAAGTGAGAGAGGGACACACACCTGAGAGATGTGCCTTGGCAAGTAATGTAAATAACTTGTCAGCCTTGTAAAAGCCGAAATGCTTTCACTTCGAACCTCAACCAATTTCAAGAAATTTACAAATGTCAATGAAGAAGTTTTTGAAGTCTGTGTTCCAAATGGATTTGGAATACTTTCTTCTGCAGACAATCCATCCACAGTTAGATATAAGATACTTGATGAAAGATCTGGTAACAACTGAAGTCCATAACACACAGATTTTCAAGTTTAAATTGGTTGCTGATGCTTCTAGGTAGTAAAGATTCCAGGGCAGTGCAACCATCCATGCTAAGATATAAAATGCTTGATGGAAGACTTGGAAAGCCTGAAGACTCTTGCAATCAGCAAACCGAAAATCCTCAAGTTTAGAGAGCCGGCTAATGCTTGAAGGGATACTATGAAAATCATTTCCACCTAGATTGAGTGTTTTCAAAGATGGGAAACAACTTAGATCATGGGGAAGAGCGCCTTCTATCAGATTGCAGTAACTTAGATCTAACGACCTCAAAGATAGTAAGACTAACAAAGAAGGCAACATTATAGCCATTGGATTTGGATTCTTCCATGGCAAAAACCGTGACGGGAGAAGAAAATCCCAGAGCTTAGGGGATGAATGTTGTCTTGTGACAATTCCACCTACGTTAAGCTTCTCCAAGCCTGTCATTTCACCCAACCTTTCGGGCAACTTCTCAAGTTTTGAGCAACCTTGCAAATTAAAAAACCTAAGGGACTTCAGATCACATATGCTGTTTGGAAGCCTTGCAAGGCTTTTGCAGCCCCTCAAGTTCAATGATACAAGCCTTTTCAGAATTCCAATGGATTGGTGAATCTCATAGAGTCTTGTGCAACCTTCAAGATACAACTTTTCAAGGTTTGGGGCCCCCTTGAAGTCTATGGTCTTGATTAAGTTAACAGAGTAACTAAGATCGATAACCTTCAACATTTTTAAAGGCTGTGAAGACAAATAAAAAAGATTAAAATGGCTGAACTTTTAAAAGTTAGCATCAATGACCTAATTGACTATGAGTTACAAGTATTCTAAACATTAAAAAGAAAACATACTTTGATTCCCTTCCATAACTGCTCCATGTTACTAAAGCGCATGTGGAGCTCAACAAGTTGATCTGGCTGGAACTTATATGGAAGAGATCTGAAAGGATATCCATCCCATTCGAGATATCTTAATTCATTTGAAAGATACTCAAGGCTTTGTGAAAGGTGCAAATTTTGAAGTTTAAGCAACCTCAGTCTCTTCATATTCATGAAGGCTTTAGCATTCAATTTCTCATCTTCTTGTTCACATGAATTTAGGACTATTCCTTCAACATGTTCTGTTCCCTGACTTAAAGGAAATAATAGCGAACACTATGAATAAAAAATAATTAATAAACCTGTATAGATTGAGAAGGACTTATAGAACTAAGTCATTTACCGAATCATTCTGTAGAACATGAGAGACATCCTTGTAAAGCCACAATCTACTTCTTTTGCCTGGTTCTTCCTGCGATTCTTGCCGAACAATTTCTTGACCCATTTCTTGCAGTAAATCATGCATCCATATTCTCTCTTTTGAAATGTTAATGAGAGATTTATTGATAAGAATTTTTATTCCAATATCCGGATAGTAGCCGCAACTTTCCAATACGTTTATCACATAATCTTTATCCTCTCCATTGTGAAAACAAGCAATATCTAGGAATATTTTCTTCTCTATTTCCTCCAATCTTTAATTGACCAGTAAATCATTTTTCTGCTGGTTAACATTATTCCACTAAAATGGAGCACCTTTCATGTCGGTTCCAGGAGGACATTCCTTGTAAAGCCACCAAGTCTACTTCTTTTGCCTGGTTCTTCCTGCGCACGTGTACCTGTTGTTGTGCTCGCCGGAACTAACCTTGTCCGCTTAGTTTGACACCCATTGTTTAGCGAATATGCCACAGATTGATATTATCAAATGCAATTCTCACACATTATTCTCTCTTTTGAAATGTTATGATGCGAGATTTATTGATAAGAATTTTTATTTCCAATTATCCGGGATAGTGTTAGCACGCGCACATTATGGTTCCAACTCTCAACGTAAATTAATCAACTTAGAGTAACTCTTCATTTTCTATCACTCCACCATTACTCCACATACCCTGTGATTTCGAGAGAAATAGCAGGCATATATCTACCC